GCTCCCTACCTACATGCCGATGCAAAACGCTCGCAATTTTCGTAATCTGTACTTTCCGCTAAATTCCCTTCGCCGCTCTCTATGTCCGGCAAGAAACCACCCTCGCGATACGATTCCAATCGGGGAGAGAGAAAGAGAGAGAGAGAGAGTGAGAGAGAGAAGGAGAGTTTAATTTGTTATTATATTTTATAAATTATTATTACAATTTAATTTCGAATTTAATATCGAGTCGGGACACTTGATCGGTGTATAAAGATCGGAGCGTTTCGTTCGGTTAGCGCAATTATCGGGTCGGTTCTACCGAATGGCGGACATTTTTTCGCGTTTTTACGTCAAAAACAACTGCCCTATTAACTTTCGATTGTTTAGGGAGAATCGGGTATCGAATCGAACCGGTGATTTTCGAAGTGGCGCTATCTTGGTGCACGCGTTTATCGGCGGTAATTTTCCGAGCACTCGACGAACAAACGCGACGCCGAAAGATTTAATTGCGCGACGTCACGTCGATGATTCGAGAGTTATTCGTTTAATACGTACAATGCATATCGGGACACGTATTTTTCTCGATTATTCCGTAAGAGCCCTCGATTCCATCTGGGTCATGTCAGCGCCGCTGACTACATCCTGACAGGACAATACATCAGGATTGACAATAGTACGATTTCGCGTGACATCTGTTTGTCCTTTTCTACCTCTCCGCTCTTTGTCGAACCCCCTTTTTCATTCCGTCGTTTGTTTCGCGGTAAATCGGCCGTGTTGGAAAACTTTTCGAACAGTGGGTGCATTGTACGCTGCTTTCTGGCGAATGCCGTCCGAGAAATTATCCTCTCCTTCGATATCTGCCCCCTCTTTCTCTCTCTGCGTAATTCCGCGTAATGTCCCAAATCCTATTGCCCCGTTGTCCACGACCGGTGTAAAAACCACTTCCGACGAAGCAGGTTCATACAAAAATTCCGATATTTATTTCTCCTTTCGACAAAGCTCTGCTCACTTTTCGGCAGCGACAAAAACGGGAAGTAGAAAGAATCGAGTTTGCTCCGGCGGGACAGAAAGTTGCCAACAATGACCAGCTTTGTTACGCGTCCCGCGATAAACAATTCCGTTTCACCGTGTTCTCGTGAATGTTTCACGAGCCATCCGTCGCCTGGCCACGAAAAGTTGCCCGAACATTCGTCACTGAATACGGCAAGAGTCGCGAGCACTTCAAAGAGAGTTTTTCCGCGGTGCCACGGACCCGCTAAAAATACCGATGTCCTCTCTAAGGCGCTCCCAGTGCTCGCGCAAAGGAATTTTTAATTCGCGCCGCAACAACCTCGCACTCGCGTTTAGCCTCTTCGGTTCCGTTCGCGTTTCGTTCGGTACCGCGCGAGGCGGAATTACCTCGCGCTTGTTGCCGCTCGTTCGGTTTATACGGGTCCGCGATAAACAACGGCGTCGGTTTCGTGCCAGGCAAACGTACGCGCGTGTACATACGTGCACGTAAGCGCGGGACGCGTGGGCATATGCAGGTGCAGAAGAAGAACAGGCCGCGAACGTGACGGGCCATTCGGCGTACTCGCAGCGCGCCGCTTCGTAATCAAATTTGCATTTCGAGTCGGAGCCGTTCTTGCCCGAAGGCTCGCGTACGTGCAAACGAGTAACCGTCCGCCAGGAAACTCGCCCGTCTCGGACAATTTATCTTTTCGGTGACGTTTGCCGGATTAACGTCTCCTCGTCGCGCGGATAATTACGCCTCTCTTCGCCCCGCACCCGTCCCCCGCCGATCTTCCCTTATTTACGCGGTAATCGCGGAATCCACGCTCGAATTTTCCCCCTGGAAATTAACAAATTATTCCACCGCTTCCGACTGCGCCGCGTTGCTCCTCGCGGAAATGGCGGCAGTCGATCGCGAATATTCGCGAGCGTAGTTTTACGGGGGGGGAAAGAGAAACGCCGGGCGTGGCGTTTAGTAAAATAAACGCGTTAATCGCGGCCCGGTTTCGAAGATAACGGGCCCGCCGTGGTCGAACGTCGAAATGAACGGTGTTTTTCGCGCTGGTCGACAACGGGCACGGGATGGGCCGCCATTATCGCGCATTGTTCGCGATCGAAATTGTCCCGGGCACTTGGAAAAGTTTGCGCAACGGCGCGCAGCGGCGCGACGCGCAGCGTGAAAATAATCGCGCGTAGAGGAGATTATTCGTTAGTGTCATTATCGGGGGACGATTACGAAACCACGACCGACCGTGAACAATGGTACCCGTTGATCAAACGGTTACGTATCATCGACCAGTCACGACTAATTAGCGTGATTGCAGCCGATAAAATACGAGCGCGACCGCTCCACCCGTTCGAATTATGAAATCAGCTTCGTTAGATAATTGCTCTATTTCGTATTGACACGTTGAATTACGAAGGCACACCGAGCGGCCACGCTTTGTCCGGTGTTCAATTTAGAAGCTTTAGCTCGCGCATTACAGCTAATCGAGGGGGTAGGAGCATAAATCGGGCGCGATTCTTGGTAGCCCTCCGATTATCGACGAAAGTTTCAATTTCGTTGCACGCCGTGTTTGCATATTAGCATACGTGCTCGCGAACCGCCATTGAATCTATCGGTCGGCACGGCAGCTCGTGCGGCAATTCGCGTATAATGCGACAGCGGCACGTAACGATCCGACGGTCCGCCGAAGATCGTGGTTGAAATTAAAACGCATGGTCGACGGAGAGAACGCGATACCCGCCCCTGTAACGAATAGCCTGCACCGAGGCGTCCTTACACGCGAAAGCTTAAATACCCGAGCGGGAAAGATCGATCCTCGATGGCAATAATAAACAGCCCGCGAGAAACGGGCGCGCCAACGAGGCTTCATTTTTCACCCTGTGCGAGAGGATTGCGCGCGTCGCGACGCAGACGGCGGAGTAGCGAGGGTGAGATTCGCCGCAGCTGACGGGGGACATTATGGTTACGTGATAATCTTTCGAGGTGCGATTGGTTAGCGTTCGTGTAACGCGAGAACCTTTCGAGTCGGGGATGGCGACGGCGATGATTGCGACGACGACGACGACGACGACGATCGCGGTGGTGACGGAGGCGATAGTAAAATATTAGATTTCCCGGTGAACGAGCGTAAAGAGGCGGCGGTGGAATTAATTTCGTCGACGTCTGCTCGACTATGATATTACGAGATCCGTGATATAACCGAGAAGTCTATAAGCATTCTCGAAGAGACGAACGATATTCTTAGCGGTAATCGGGGGACAGAGAGAGCCGGCTAATACCGCTAGAAAGGGGATGAAATTCGTTGGAACGAATGGAGGTTGCGGTAGGTTTGAACGACGGCGTGGCGACGCCGGAAGCACGCAGACAACCGACAAATCCATCGGCAAACGAAGCCAGGTGTTCCCATTCCGGTAGGCATGGAAAGACGTCCTAAAGATATTCCGTGTAGCTCGTCGCGAAATGCGAGAATCCTTTGTCCTCGAAGAATGCGCGGGGTTCCTTCGTGGCCGGGATTCGCGAGCACAGCCCCGCGAGAATCGAAGGAAAATGAAACTCGTAATTGAAAATTTCCAGTTGCGACGGGAATACGGTCTCGTGGAACGCGGTCATTTCCTCCGCGATGTTTCCGAACTTTCGCAATGGCTTCTCTCGTTGAAATAACCGGTTCGAGGTTAATGGAAGGCTCGTAAACCGAAATCTTTCGCCGGAGTTTACCTCGACGACGCGCGTACCGGGGATGAACTAGAAAAATATCCGTTTTAACCTCCTCTTTTTCCAGTCAAGCTCTTTCCAATTTTCCGCCGTTTCACCGACTTCTCCCGTGAAGCCTGATTCGGCACACGCGCGTATCTTACGAGCTTCGATGCCGGACACACGCTCGCCTGCATTTGTAAATAAGCAACGGACTTTCGATCCGGCTCGTTTTATCTTTCGCACGGCTTTTACCCTTTCATTCGCTGCTCGTATCCCCAAAGAGGGCTGCTTTCTTTCGCGCTGTTAAAGGACGAAAACGCCGCGCGATCCCACTTTTCCCTCGCTTCTCGAACGTTTCGAGTTTGCCATCGAGGGCAGAGTATCGAGACCAGGAAAGAGAAACGTAGTTTCCTTTAACGAATAAGATCGCGTCTATAATCGGAACGTAGTTAAAGTTCGAACGAGCGGATTTTCGGAAGTCGTTGGGACCGAGTTGCCGAACAATTTCAAGTTTCTCCAAAGAACGAATTAACGTTTACGAAACTGTTGTTCGTTATATCGCGTGACGGAGAACCAGGACCGTAGTTTTGCCAGTTTATCGAAAGCCTTCGAATTCGCCGAGACAAACGGAATTAACGTCGCGACTCGAGGAATACTTCTTCGACGGTCCATTTTCCCTCTTAACCCCTTTCCGTGCTTTAACGAGTCTAACTCGTGACGAAGACTTTCGCCCAAACGCGAATATCACGTGCCAGACTCGTGAACAGAAAGTCGGCCCGAAAGATCGCTTTCTGAATCACGCATTTCTCACAGTCTCACCCTCGGTAGTCGCGTACCCTAAACACTCGTTTTGTTCTTCACTTGCATTCGATACTGCCATAAATATCCCGTTCATACGATCCTTGCACGCGGTCACTCGTCCTCCCGCACGCAGTCCAGGTGACACTCTGAACACTGGGTCTGAACCTTAACCACTTGCGCTGGCAAGAAATTCACAGATGTACACCACGTCGTTGTAAATTCTGCGACAAAAGCATTACGACGTACGTAACACGTTTTTTCAGCCCAAGTGGCCAGGCTGCTGTTTATTGTCCATCATCAGGACAGGTAGGTAGGCTCGAGTGTGCATTCACTTTCAAACTCTAATATTTTCACGTAAATACATTTCGGCTCGATCATTTTCGAGCATCAGTCTGGCCTGTTTACCGCGCGTTGAAGCGTACCGTTTGGGCCCGGATTTCATGGGGGGAAGGGGTTGAAATGGCCCGCTACGCGTAGATCGATGCGCGACGAAGGGAAAGCGGATAAAAGAGGCGTTGTCTCTTACCTTGTCCCTGATTTCCTGTCGCATCTTCTCCCGTTCCTCTTCCATTTTGCGGTGCTTCTCCTTCCTTCGCTCTTCAGCTTCCCTGATGGCTTCTTGCCTTTCTCTTTCGGCTTCCTCTTCCTTCTCCTTGTCATCTTCGTCTCCGCCTTCGCCACCAACAGCTCCTGCGAAACAAAACAGACCACGCGTATGTATAATCGCCCTTTCTCCATTTTACCCCACCGCTTTTACCTTTCTTTTCTTTTCAGCTTGATTAGCCCGCGCGATAATTGATAGTTGCGGGATGATTAAACCTACCCCCGGTGTTAAAAACTTCCCGGTGCTTTGTCCGCGTTTAGTTCCCGTTCCTTCCATTTACGTTATGCTCGGTGTACAAACCACCGGGATAATAGACGACGGGAAACTAGCGGTTTACCCTTGGGAGCAAACATTGTAAATCAGTCTGATAGCTGCGACGCTATTCCCTTCGAGTTTATAAACCATCGCTATGGAGGCGTGTACGTCAAGTTCCCGGTGAAAATTATTTCGCTATAGGGGCGGGGGGCGGGGGGAGTCCCTTAGATCGATGGTTATGACGGATGGGATAGTTTCTTCTTTGCGAATTTTCGTCAAACGACTACTTTTCCTCCCGTTTGCACCCCCGCTATTCGCGCAAAGGCTCGCCGCGAGCGATTCCAACGGTTCCAGCGAATCGGCCAAGATAACGGGAGATGGAGTAAAAATCGGATTCCGACTTTGTCGAAGGAGAGACGCGAGGGAAAAATATCGAGTTATCGGCGTGGAGAGAACGGTCTGGAATTTTGGAAGTTCCCTTGGATTAATTCGATTTCCTTCAGCTCCCTCGCGGAACGAAGACGAACTCCATTTCGGAGGTACTTATGATCGAATTCACCTTCGGCTTGATAACCGAAGTGGAAAAAGAGGAAGGAATAAATCGGTCGCGTTCACCGAGAGCCCGTGATGGAAATATCAGAGCTTCGGCGGTCTTAACGAAGTTTTATTAGTTTACCGAAAGATTAAGCGGATTCGCAGAGAGTTCCTTGCCTATTACTCGTGCAACGAGTCCCAACGAGGGGAGTCCTCCGCGAGCATTCTCGAGGAAAAATCGTGTTTACAGCGGAAACACATCCGGCCATTCGTTTTTCCACGGAACGCGATACCCTCGTGCTCTCCGGCGTACGTAAAAATATGAAAGCTGTTTGCGAATCTGTTAGCCGGCTACTCTTAACTTTTCCCTCGTTCATCCTCGTCCCGGTTGCCAGAGAAATTAATGGCAAACAAAGGGAAATTTGTCTTCGGTAATGCTCTTTTCTTACACAAATACAGCCGGGTGTTTACGATCGCGAAAAAATGCTCGCTTGTCACGACGCGATCGTGCCAACGCCGATCCGTTTATCAACGTCTCGCGTCGCCATTGCGAAAAGTAGCCGGGAAAATTCAATCGTCCCGTTGGATTTTAAAACAGACAACGCTCCGGTCGTCTCGACGTTATTATCCGCTCGCGTGTCCGTCGTGCTTCACGCGAAATCTCCGTGGACGAGGCGTGTGACAGGCGCTGGCCGTGAATCGCTGTGGACGGGGTGGAATTTTCGCGAGTGACAATCGGTCGATTCGGTCTTTTTGCCCGTTTTCGCGATGCGTCGAGGAGGAAAAAATAGCCGGAATTGGCGCGATCGAGGAGAGATTTCGGCGAAACGTAAAACGTCGCGCGGGCTCGCTGATACGTAAAAATGGCACCGCTTCGAGCCGAGAACTGCAGCGTGTATAATGTTGGCAATATCGGGAAGGCAGACGGACCCCGGCTGAAGGGAAGCGAAAGGGATTCGTCTTTCCTGCTGTCTGCCGGAGAATGATGTGCCAGGACCTCCGGGCTCGAGGAAATTAATACTACTTCTGTCCCGGCGCCGTCTACCATTTTCCCTTTTCTTTACGTGCTATCTCGTCCCTTCTATTTGCACTGTTTCCCGCAGCACTGGTTTCCGCGAAGTGGAAAGGTACTTTGAAGTCCGAGCCAGAGACGACGTTCATTCTCTCCGTCCCTCTATCCCCTTCTGTTTTTATTCCTCGACCTCTCTGCCCGACACCTCTCTCGACTGCACTGCTCCCCATCTTCTCCGCCTCTTCGACCTTCCCTCTTTCTCGCCAACCCCGTAGACCAGCGCCGAATCTCGAAATTATCGTCGTTATCGTAATTTCGTTTGCCCGGCGTTGAAAAATCAGCTTATTCCGCGGATTATTCCGCTGGAAAGGATCCTCGGCCACTCCGAGGGGTTCGCTACTCGGAGGATGGCCGCATAATTGGCCGGTGCTCGGTATGTAATAACTCGCGTATCGTCGGCTCGTTTCGTTCCTTTTCCATTTTTACCCAAGTCCCGTACGCTGCTTTGCCGGATTAATTAATCACGCTGGTTGGTTTTTAACGCTACGCCACTTAATCGTCCCTCTCCGTTTAGCGGCTGCACGCCGAGTTTCTTTATCTTATCCCCTGGAACAGCGTACGCGGGTGCATTTACGTTATTACACGGCCCCGTCGCGCGCACTTTGTCTTATCTTTTGTTTGATCCGTTCCACCGGCGATGGCGATGGGGAACACGGCCCTTCGAAAAATTCGTTCCGCGAGGTGAAAATAAAATCCACTTATCTCTTTGTCCACTCGACCGTACGTCCGCTCGTTCATCCATCATACCGGGCTTTAATTAAATTTACTTATTTCACCCGACGCTGATCTCTGTCTATCCACTCGGCGGTGATCCTTCCATCTCGAATGCGACCTGGCCTAGTTTGTCCTGTCAAACACACGGTTCGACGGCTCGGAGATCAAACGAAGATGATAAAAATTTGCCGTGTCTCGCGATCGAGCTTTCATCCTCGCGCCTCGAACGCGTTCCATGGAGGAGGATATCCGAGCGATATCGTCCTTTTGCCTTGCAAATGTCTCCACCGTCCCGTGATCGTTTTTTCCTATTTTTTTTCCACTCGCATAGGTCTCGATCGCGTGTAACGATTATTCGTTGCGATCATCGAGTTATTCTCACCGGCGTGAATATAATCGCGGCGAACGCGCATCGGCCGTGAGACGATAAAAATGAAAGCTTTCCGGCGCCATCGTTTCGTCGGCTCGATTTACGAACGATGCCGCTCATCTACGCGTCGGAGCATCATCTCCTGGGTGCAATCGTACAACAAGAACGGCCGTAATAGCGAACGGGGACAATTGTCCCCGGTGCAAATGGAGCGACGAAGGAGGAACATTGTCATTTGCAGCGACATTTTCACGGATCCGTGTCGTTTCTCGTTTCGCGCCGCGGCCCAGAGATCACACCCCGTGAACGCGTCTACTCTCGTCTCGTCGATCGCGAAACTTTTTTCCCGTAGCTCGTTAATTTTCCTGCCAAAACGCCGGCAAAGATCCGATCGCGAGAATTCCGCGAATCTCGTTGCTCGCGTCGCGAAATAGGCGCGTGTAATTCCGAAGCGGGAACGAGGCGGGAACGAAGCGGGACGCGGAAGAGAAAACGAAAGGTGGAAATTCCAGCGTCAAGCTGCGCAATTTTTCATCGCGTGCATTCGCTGAAAAAATTCATTAATTCCCGCGACACGAATCGGGAGGTCGTCGGATGCACGGCGAAAACCAAAGTTCCGCTGCAGCGCGACGAAATTTCTCCTCCTTTTTTCCTTTCATTCCCCTTCCTTTTCGCCTTTTCTCGCTCGTCGCTGACTTTCTCGTCGAGGTTTCAATACCGGCGATGATTTAAAAGCGGCACGACGGAGTCATCCGCCAGTTTCTGGTCGATATTTCAGCCGGTGGAGGAACGAATCAACCCCCCGACGACCGTCCTTTTTCTTCCCGTGTCTTTGCATGTAGGCCAAGAGTCCGCTGCAGCTAGCTTTTTGTTCCCGCGAATCCACCACGCGGATCATTACGCGGAACGATGCAGTCGCTAAATCCGGCTTTCGAGACATTTTTTTCCACCCCTCCGCCAGTCCCCCGTAGGTGTCCTTAATGATTACACGCGCCTCTTTAAAGTCCGCGCACCCCCGGCCGCCACGACGGCCGCACGCGTTCCGCGCGATAATTAAAGTATTCCGCGGCCTGGCCTCGCGTTTCCTCCAATTAACGCCTATTTATTTATTACCGAATTACCGAGGCGTGCTCGGGGGTCGCGGTAATGGCAGCGTGACACGCGTACAACGTATTCCTCGAACGAGAGCCATCCTAAAAACGATTCCCGTGTTCTCGCCGCGGGTGAAACACGTTTCTTCCTTCTAGCGGCACGTTTAAGCGTCCCCCGAAGAGCTTTAATAAATCCGTGGAAACGACACTGGCGGCCCGTTCTAAATTAGAAACGTTCACGGTACGGATATTCAAACGAGAGGAGGGTGTATGGCCAGCGTGCCGAATAACGCGGTGTCTTTCGAAAAAGTGACCCAGTTCCTTTTTTAACCAAAAGTCACGGACGAACGACGCCGTTTCAACCCCTGGAATATAAACAAAAGACGAGGCAGATTTCGAGAAGGAGCAACCCCGACGTGGAAAATAGAAAATCCCGGCACGCGATTTTTCTCCTCGTCATTGTTTTTTCTCCGCCATCCAAACGACAACGGCGATATGCAAAGTCGGGACAAATTCAGCGGCGTTTCCGCTGCGAACGGGTGAAACGCGGAGAAAGGCCGGCGTATAAAGGGTGCAACGCAAAGGAAACAACGGCGGCCTCGATAGTCATTGGTAATCACCCACGTGCCGCGGTGGCATACAAACCAACGAAAAGCAATCTCCGACGTATCTATACCGCCATCCTTTCCCACCCTCTTTTTACCACCCTTTCTGTCCCTCGTTCTCTGCTCGATAGAAATTCCGTTTATCATCGATCCGCGCGAGCCACGGGGCTTTTCCTAATCAGCCGAGCAAGTCGCTTTACGACCGGTCTCTGCCAATTCCTCCAATCCACTGTCTTTCCGGCGACTTTTCATAACTCTTCTACCAACCTCGTTTCGTACCAGTCGTAAACGGCGCGACAAGAAAACGCGCTCCTCGCAATCCCGATAAACGAACGGGACGTGCCGGAATATCTTTCCGCGTGAATCGAGGGAGAACGTCGAAGTGGGGAATAAAGGAAGCGTTCGAAGAACCTTTCCTCTTCCTCCATCACCGAGTTATCCTACG